AACGCGCGCGCCAAGTGCAAAACATAGGGTCAGACCCCAAATCTCAAAAAACGACGAAGAAAAAAGAAAATAAAAAAGGAAATACCCTATGTGAAATTGCCTACATCAATAATGGAACGCCAAAACGGAAGCTTATTTATGCAACCGATTTGTGAATCTAAAAATATTTATTTATCTATGTGAAGAAAATACAAATATTTAATCTTTGCCAAGAGGCTAGCGATCAAAGCGCTTGTCAAAAGATTCAACGTTCAGATCAAAGTGCCCCGAAATCATAATAAGCAAATCAAGCGAAAAGCCACTACGAAAATTGGTAAATGCAAATTGTCAGAAATTGATAATGCGTTTAATTATTGCGTAAATAAAAACGAGATAAAAATCTGTGAGCATTGCAAATATTTATTTACATTTTTTCCTTTATTTAATTCAGACTGAAACCAGTGGCACTTAAATTGCTTTTTGCATTAATTCATGAATAATTTCACTTTGTGCTGGCATTAAATAAAAAGGTAAAAAGGTTAAAAATCATTTTGCGAAATCGCCGTGAATATATGTTTAATTATTTCAGCTTATGGTAAATTAACTGAATGCCTCCACTTAATTTTCATAATATTCTGTTGAAAAATACAAACATTCTTATAATTTTAAAGCCAGAAAAAACCCAATGCTATCGCATAAACAAACTGACGTCAAGCTGTGGAAAAACCGGAACGCAAATATAATGTGATTTCAAAAAAAAAAAAAATAAATAAAATAATAATAATAATAATATCAACACATTTTGTTTTGATTTATTTGATTTCACTTTTGTTTTGAAATGATTTTTGTGTAAATACATTATTTAAAAAAGTGATTTAAGCTTCTTTCACAATACATAGGAAGCTTATTTCAATGAATTCAATCGCTTTATTTTGCATATATGCTAATATAAAACAAATAATTTATTTTTAACATATCCAAAATTTTGTTGTCACTGACACCTTTCATTCGCAAATTCCAATACAATCCAATAAAGATTTGGTTTATTACCAAAATCTATAATTTATATAACAATTGTTAAGGTGACATTTGAAAGTTTTTCTTAACAAAAATTATTTCATTTTGCCTGTGTGTTTAAGTGTAAGTCAATATGCTGAAATCAATTATTGTCGAAAAACTCACACTCAAAAAACACTGGCCGACAAACAAGTAAATACAGATTCAATTATTTTGCAATAGTGTAAACAGTTTGGCATTAAAATAGTTATCCGAGCAGAGCCCCGATATCTAAAACTACAATATATATGCTTCACTTAATTTGCATGATAATGGGCCAGATTTTTGCATTTGTTGACGGGCCGCCCACTTTATTCGAATGTAAGGGGAGGGCGGGGCTTCGGCAGCACTCTGCCCCAAAAATAAATCGCATAATTCGAAATAATTTTTGGGGAGCATCTTGTTGCAGCTTCGGGGTTTGTTGAACTTATTTCGCACAAATACGTTTCGCTTCGTTGCGATCTTATTTTGAATTTCTAATTTCTGAGCCCCGTGCCCCACATCCCCTGTGGCATTTTTGCTTAGCTGCTAAAATTAGTTGCAGATAATTTGTTGTTATTATTTCTGTAGCTTTTGTTGTGTTTTGGGTTTCACATTTTCAATTTTTCGCCTCGTCCCGTTGAACTGTGTGTCAAATGTGACAGATTTCAATGCGTTGCCTTGTCTATGCTAATTATGCAAATTTTCTCTTCTCGCGTCACCCCATTGCGTGGTGTAGCTGCTGCTGTGGACCTTTGACATCATTTGCATTTAAAATGCAAAAGAAATTTCACCGCTTGTCACTCCTCTTACGAGCACCATATGATTTATGACATTTTGACAGAATGCACACAAAATACGCTGCAAATCAAAATTGTTCCAATACTTATTTCCTTTATTTTGGTCGTTTTGGCTTTAGCAGTCGCTGTCGCTGGAATAATATTTTTCTTAGTCCGTTTTTTATACATTTGCATTTATTCATGAATGCAGCTGCATGTCATTGATACTTATATGTGCTGCATATTGTGGTAATCGGAAACAAGTTTGATATGATTTTTCTTTATGATATCAGTTGCTTAGACTATTTTTATAAATGACTAGCATTTTAATAAAGTTCCATATGAAGTTCACAGTTTGTTTTATGGTTTATGAGCGTTTTTTGTAGTAATCAAAATACTGACCAAGTTTAATATTGAAATTTCCACAATTTACCAAACGATAAACTCGAGTTCCAAATTAAAGACCCCTTTAACATACCCCTGAACATATTTTGCTTAAATTATCAATCTAACTGGAAAAGTAAAACAACATTATGTTGAAGCTCGATCATTGTTTATATTAATAGCTCAACATTATCCTTAAAATTGTTATATATGAAACATTTAGCTATAAGTAGACCCATTCACATAAAGTCATCTCTCAACAGTTTACTCTACAAAGCATTTTCCAAATTGTCTTCGGCTGCTCGGACCGTGTGAAAGTCTTGGACTGCCAGCGGCAGCGGCGACAACGTAATCCAAATCAAATCACTTTACTTAACTTAAATTCCAATTGCAATACGAAGAGATCCTTTGTCTTCGCCATTACCAGCTGCAAGTTCTTGACAGTTTCCGCCAGTTTAGCTCGACTGCATTTTCAGTTTGTGTTTTTCTTTGTTTTTGTAAATCTCTCATGGGTAGCCAACGAGAGCTAACCGAATACCGTAAATCTTTTTTCGTCCCGCTTTTAGGATTTTATTTTTAAGTATTCGTAGTTTATTTTAAATGTTGTGCATTTTATTTAAATTTGCATTGTGTGAGTCTATTTATTATTTATTTGTCGTATTTTAAGCGAAATGCATTTGTGTTTACTAAGTGAAAGTGAATTAAATCCGTATCCACTCTCTGGCTAACAGCTGATATCAATTTGTTGCGTGTAGCACAGAAATAGCAATAATTTTCCATTTCATTGGTATTGCTGCTCAATGATCCACTCTATAAATACGCAGCACATATGTACCAACAAAAACCCAAAACAAACATCAGCCAATGTTGACTTAATTAGCTCCTACTCAAGTGAAAAGATTTATGATACTTTTAACAAGACACTATTATCGCGGCTGCTAAAGTGCCCGGAAAAACTTTAACAGCGAGTCAAGACTGTTCAAAAACTCCAAATTAATATGTGCAACTAACGTACCTTGACATTTGTGCGGTACACTGCTAAAAATAACGTGGAATGCAATAAATAACTAAAAACAGAAATTCTAGATTTTATTACTTATTTTTTTGGACTCACAAATTTTGTTTGTAGACGATAGCTGTGTGCCCCACACAGCATTTTCAGTGCATCCGGAAGTACTAGTGAATAACATATGTATTCATCAGTGCTCAACTTAAACTTCGCTGTTTTACCCAAAACTAGTAGTTTAACTAAAATACGGTTTGTTTTGCTGCAGTTTTTTTTTATCACTTTTCTTAGCTGAATATATTTTTTATATTTGTTGCTCTGTTTTTTTTCCGTTAGATTACTGCTTTAAATTTGTTGTTGTGAAGAAATGCTTTTAGACCGTCACCGTATTCTGTTTATTTTGATATATATTATAAATTCACGCACACATACATACACACACACACACACACACAAATTGGCAGCTATCCCACACATGTTGGGCGCATGTTCCTATGTGTTGAGTTCTTGTGCTCGTAAAAATCATTTAAATGGCTTTTTTTCGCTTTCCGTTTTTAGATATTTGCATTGGTTTTGCTTTTGTATGTACGATGTACGGAATTTGTGTCAACAAATAAAACTCACACAAATACAAGGCTGAGTATCGTTCGAATAAGAAGCTAATTGAATTTTTATTGGTAATTTTATGATTAATCGTCATGGGAAATTTCCTATATCTGATGTTTGTTTACTCAACGGTATTGTGAATCTGACACTTAAATTTCGAATAGCATTCAAATTTCATTTGGCATGTGTCCGAACTTGAATGATGAGCGTTTGTTCTATATATTATACATTTTCTTTCTTTCTGTATACAAAAATGTTTTAATGGTGGCTCTTATATATTCATTGACTGGAAGTTCTCAGACTTGAATGTCTACATAGAAAATCATTTCATTTAATTGAGTTGATAATCCTTAAAGTGTATGTTCCCAAGTAACCAAGTAGACAGCATGAAACCTGTTACAACCACACACACACACACACACACGTACGTAACAAGAGTCTTGCAACATAATTGTCTGCTGTCGAAAAGTTTAACAATAAATTTTCAAATTGGAAAAATGAAGAGCACTTTGATGAAGAACCTTGTCAATATGAAGTGGAAAAACAGAATTGAATGATGTGTACATCAAGTTTTCGAGAAATTCAATTAAATTACTTTTCTTTTAGCTACAATTGAAAATTTATAAAAATAAACACTTCATAAATCAAATTAAAATATTTAAAACAAAGTATAACAAAATATAACGAAACATTTTTTAAATTGAAATAAACTACTAACAACTAACGCTAAAATAAATATTTAACTGCAATGCGCATTTTACGGTTTAATTTCTAATATCTTTGACAAATAAAAAATTCCACAGGCCAAGACAGCCAAAAGTAAATATTTGCAATGACAAAGATAACAATAGAAAATTACAACAAATATATAAACACAGTTGGCCAAAAAAGAAAGACAAAAATTATTTACTACTTTGGTTTCTATCCCCTTTTTTACACTTTGCACAAAAGGAAACTAAACTAAAGTTTTTTTTTGCAGCTGGAATGCAGGAGGCGGGGCACAATAAGCAGTACAGGAACCGGAAGTATGCTAAGAATTTGAAGTAAATACAGTAAAAGAACTATTCGAGGCAAACAAGAAAATCCATGTAAATAATATACTGGAAATGTGGCGATTTGGGCATGGTATAAAACGCAATTAGCAACAAAGGAAAAAATTGTCACAAAAGACAAATACACAAAACAAAAGTAATGTGAAACTTGCACTGGGCTAAAATTAAAATTTAAATTGAAAATAAAGCAGAAGAAGAAGCAACAACCGGGGCAAGAAATACTGTAAACAGGCGCCATGAAGTTTCGTTTGGGCTCCTTTTGGTTATTTTTGTTGACAGTTGGCGGCAATGAGAAGCAATTAAGCGCTGATTGCTGCCACGGGCTGGCCACTTGGGGCATACCAACTGCGGCCGCATCCACTGCACCACTAAAGCAAAAATCAATTGAGCAGTCCGACAGCCGTAATCGGTATACACACAACGGAAATGGACTGGAAAATGCAACGACATTGCATTCCACCGCAAAGCAAACACCCACTGAGTCTCCCCAGGTTATTGGAGACATAATAACAACAACCCCACAAACAACCGCAACCACAGCAAGAACAGAAACTCAGCCGGATGCCACAACAGTGACGGCCAAATCAATTGTTGAGCTGCTTTTCAGGCAGGCAAGCAGGCCAAAAAGTTTGGAGCTGAGCTTAAAAGAGCACATGGCAACACTCATTGGCAGCGAGCAGCATGAAAGAGGTGCGGCAACAACAGCAGCAACACCTGACAACGATACCAGCAGCAGCGGAACAAGTACTCATCATCCGGAGCGACGTCATGTGGTGCCTGACAAGCTACAGTACACGAAGGAGTTGCAAATTAAACAGGGTCGTCTGATGGGCATAACACGTCGCTTTCAGGTGACCAGCGGTCTGCGTGACGTGGATCAGTATCTGGGTCTCCCCTATGCCGAGGCGCCCATTGGCAGCAGGCGGTTTATGCCGCCAGGTGAGTAGATGCACTCCACTAGCTGTGCTGAGCATTTAGCTTTATTTTAATGCATAGCATGGGTATGTAATTTTTAAGAAAGCATATTTTTTTTCTTAATACTTCATTAATTTAATTAAATTTTTACCACGGATTTTTGGAAAAATTTGATATAAAAAGAATATTTTTGTAGATGGATTTCTATTTAATTGGAATATAAGTAATGCGCTTTTCGAAAATACAATGCGAATAATAACCACACATATGTATATAACTACATATATATATATTTAAAGTCCCTATTCTTTAATTTACAAAATTTGTGATACTCACAATGCTTTAAGGTTTTTGATTAATAAGATTGTGGTTTTGCATAATAGACAACGCTTAAAATATTATTTATTTATATATAAAATAGCTCAGGTATCTATGAAACCCATCATTAAATTTTCATATTTTATGCATTTTGTAGATTTTGTTTTAATTTGGAATGCTTTGACCACAAGCAAAAATTGGGAAAAACTAGTTCAAAGTGGCAATATATATTTTTCGTTAAATTTTCTAATTTCAAGTTATCAAATAAATGTATTATATAATATTCCAATTAACTACAATTCAGTTATCTTCTTAGATTGCATCAAAATAGTAAAACACCTTTAACAATTTTTAAAGCACTTTTCCGAAATGATAAGTTTGTATGGCCAACACTGCTGCATACCACAAATATGATGGCAATTTGGCACTTTGCAGCACCGGCACCAGCAAACGAACTAAAATCAAAACCAAAATTGCACAGCAAATGCCGGTTACACATTCTGACCATGTCTAAGCTGCCTGCTAGGCAACTTAGAATTTAGCCTGCAATTTAGGCAATTATCTTTGAAGCACACCTGGCAAAATGCTTTTGCAAAACCTGACACGTACAATGTACTCGTTGCACCCAATTGCAACACTAGGATGGAGGGATGACTATATGGGCCTAGTTAAATGTTATTATTCTATGAAAATTGTTGGCCAGCTAGAATATTTCTGTATTTATTTACATCGCAAATATGCTAACGTATTTTTGGTATTTATGGTACTTATATGGCTAGTTGTCACACTCGTATTGTTGTCTTTAACAAAGTTTGCTCAATATTGGAAAGTTCAAGAAAATGCTTGTTATCTGCCCACACAATATGCAAATGTTTGATAATTATGCGCTTGTTGATTGTAAAATACCAAAATTAAAATTACAAACCTTCGAGAATTGACCAAGTAATTTCCGAACATTCAATGGGCTGCTAAGACATTAAAACCGCAAAATCTGTAAGTCTGCGACTATTTCACTGCGGCTATACTATGGCACAATGTTGTTAGCAGGACACGGGCCAAAGCAAGGACAATAAATTATTTAGCATACTCGAATCAAATCGCATCGCATCGCATGGATTGCCTGCAACATTTTTTGCCAGAACGCCAATTCCCCAGGCCGTGACAAAATTGCTTGTCACGATTTATATTTGCATTTGTGTCTGTATATATATATATATATATATATATATGTATGTGTGTGTGTCCTGTGTGTTTTGAGTATTTGCCTTTGCGTCGCGTTTATTGAGCACTTGAGTGGCGCGCACGCAATACCAGCGGCAAGTGCAATAATAACGGAAGACTGCGGACAGGCGCTGTCGCCCAACGCAGCACTGACGCCATATTTGCCAGCGGAAATGTTCTGTTTGTTGTTGTTACCGTCGGTAAAGTCGACGCATTGTTGCAACAAGCCGCAGTCGAATTTTGCCAAGCAAATATAAAGTCAATGCAAATAAGAGATTCGTTTGCGTATGCGTAATGTATGTTGAGCAGATACAGCAACACACACACACACAACTCACCCCGTCTTTCGCACACACACCGACACATACACACACAGACACACTCACACTCACACATTTACGAGTTTGTGCTTGTGCGGCAGTCTAACAAACACAATAAGTTTTCGTCCACAGATCGAAAATGGTTTTGAGTTTTGTATTCTGGTATTTATCTTTGCCATCGCTTTCGAAGGTTTTGGGGGTCGATGGGTTCATTGCTTTTATTTATGTACTAACAACTCGACCTTTTGCTTGCTGTGAAATTTATTAATAACAAAATGCAAATATCGCCACCGACTGACGCGCTTTTGTGTGACGCCATTCGCGTATTTACAGCACCCACCAAATATGTTCTCTGGCCATATGCGTTCGGATTTTTGGTGTTTCTTTGTTTTATGAGCGCCATAACACGAACCATTTGCAAAGAAAAATCAATTTTGTTTGCCTATGTCAAAGTGTAAACGTTGCATATTTTTGGGCGCACAGTCGTATAAACCTTAAGAAATTTATTTACACCAAATTGATTCAAAATAATATGCTGTTAAAATTAGCATTTCTGATAGTGCAAGTAGTTTTAAGCTTAAAGCTTTCATGATTTAATCGTAATTTTGATAAAAATATTAAACACACGAAGTAAACACTTTAATGGTTACTTAACTAATAACAAGTAATAGGAGTCTCTTGCTGCTTGGACGAGTTTCTTGGCAACTATCTGAGAGTTGTTTAAATTGTATTGCAACAATTATTTTGCTTTACATTTATGTCTTATTTTGCTTTAAATTTATGTCTTATTTTGCTTTAAATTTATATATTTTAAGTCGATGATTTCGTACTTTCCTTTCTCCTTTCCAAACACCTCGAAAAGCCATCTCAACCAACGATTTCGCTCTTGACCACCTAATCAAGATTTACATAATGAATGCCAATATCAGGCAAAAATTGTCACTGTAGCCAAACTGAAACATTTTGGTAAGGCATTCCAATGGGTGTGTGTCGAATGAAGTGTGCTGTGGGGACAGTTGTGGCTACGTGCTGTGCTGCGAAAATGCAACGGAATCGAAATTAAGTTGACCAAATCGTGGTTCCATTGCCCCACATAAGTCTCGTATTCGCATGCAGTCCGACGTTAACTGAAATGCCAAAACCTAGCCGCAGCCAACTTGACCATAGTGTCCCGAGTGTCCTTTCTGTATCGGCACTCAGATGCAGGAAGTGTCCTGTGCATGTGACTGTGAATGTGAATGTGGGTGCGAGTTTGAATGTGATTGTGGCTGTCTACTCGTTTACGGTGCTTCCGAGTGCTTGTTGACCGTGTTACATAAATACGAAATTGACTTGCTGCTCCCCATGTGGCACACAAACCAATCGAATGCTTGTTTTCCTGTGGTCACACAGAGAAACACTCATAGCGAAGGAGAGAGAAATCGGGAAAAATAACCAAGCGTGAAATCTTTGGTTATAATGTGGGTAGTTTGCGATCAAATCTTGAAAAAGCAAATATACGAGTATGTACATATATAGCAAGTAGCACTCAAAAATAAATTATATATCTTTTCTAAGCTCGTTTTTTCACTATAAAGTAAAATGAAGTCACAACAACTCCGCTCTTCTTCTTCAAGTTGCTGATGGTACACTAGTATCCTGTTTCCTAATTTAAAGTGATCTGCTAAAATATGTAAATAAAAATATTTTTCTCAAATCTTAAAAGATACTAAATCAAAATAGCATGCACTTTATTTGTAAAATATGTATCTAAATAAAAGCAAAGCAGAGAATAAGCCAGAATCGATTCGATTTTGATGAAAAACTTTATTTTCATAATTCAGTTTTATTTTCGGTGATATTTGAATCTAATCAGTAAATTATAATATTACTCTATATTCAATTATGTAACTTAAAATCAAATAATATATTTCACTTAGTCGAGAGCTGATCAGCAGTAATTTATAATAGTTTGTTGTCTTCTCATCGTGTTAATATTTCTCGTGTTATATTTTTTTATTCTCGCGGTTCTACAGGTGCACCCCTGCCGTGGCAAGGCTTGAAGATAGCGCGTCATTTGCCGCCGGTTTGTCCACAGAAACTGCCGGATATGTCAGGACAGAATAGCAAGAGTATTTCACGTGCCCGCTACAAGCATTTGCTGCGACTGATGCCATACCTGAAAACCGAGAGTGAGGATTGCTTGTACCTGAATCTTTACGTTCCGCACGAGGGTAAGTTAATGATGCGCTCACCGAAACTGAAACTGAATTTATTTACTCCATGTAGAGCCTCTCACTACGTCCAAGCCACATGCAGTACTTGTTTATTTGCATGGCGAGTCCTTTGAGTGGAACAGTGGCAATGCCTACGATGGCTCAGTGCTGGCCAGCTATGGCGAGGTTATTGTGGTCACTGTCAACTATCGCCTGGGCGTGCTGGGTAAGTGTGTAATCGAGCATAGCCTTAATGGACAATCTGCTAATTGCATAACATGCCACAGGGTTTATGCGTCCGGGCATCAATGCACATAATATTGCCAACTATGCACTGCTCGATCAGATAGCGGCGCTGCATTGGATCAAGGAGAACATCGGCTCCTTCGGAGGCGACAATACACGTGTCACTCTGATGGGGCACAGCACAGGTGCTGCCTGTGTCAATTATCTAATGGTCTCACCGGTGGCATCAGGTGAGTGTCTCTCTTCTCTTGCTCTTTTTACCCAATAATACTGGGTACTATGATATTGTTCAAATGTATGAAGGCGGTAGGAGATAATTTCATCTAATGCTTATCAATCATTCCGTCCGTTCTATCGATTACTCACCAATATCTTCCATTAGAGTTAAACATTTATTTCTTTTCAAAATCTTTGTTGGGAGTTTAATGACAAATTCTAACTAACTAAATATGTTCCTGTCTAGCATAAGCATATCTCCAAAATTGCAAAGATCCAGTTCTTAAGGACATATTCTTGGTTTTTAATATAAAATCTTATTTGAGTGCAATATTTATACTCAAAATGTTTCATGACAATACGAAAATAAGGATAGACGTTATTGAAGAATACTTTTCATATTAACGAGCTTACAATTAAAAATTCACTAAATGCACACTCAATCAGGTTCAGGGTATCCTTAGTCGGCTAATGCTCTTCACAATGAGTATTGCATTTAATTTTGTAAAATATTGTGGATTCCACCGCAGGTCTATTTCATCGCGCCATACTCATGTCAGGCTCGGCGATGTCCGATTGGGCCGCCAGCAATCAATCGCTGCAATTGACCATGCAAATAGCCCAGGCTCTGGGCTGTCCATTGAGTGACCACAAGGATGAGGATGCTCTGCTCGATTGCCTGCGCCAGCATCGGTGAGTCAATCAATTTAATCAATTATTAAGTGATACGAGTGATGCTGCGAGTGGCGACTGCCTTTCTCTCTCTCGCTCCCTCTCAGTTTCCCTCAATTTCTCAGTCCATTTTAATCGCACCACAATGCGTGCTAATGCCCTTTAGTGTTACTGTCCATTATGCTCTGGTCGATTTGGCTGCTGAATGCGTTAATTTAATTTACGTTGGCATCTTCCAAAAACCAGTCAGGACAGCAGTGTCCTGTACCTTGATTCATCGGCCGCGCGTGTCCCTTGTCCGCTACTTAATGATTCGATAAATTTACGAGTTTGTCGCGTTGAGCTCTCAATGAGCCGTAAAGTCCCGTTCCTTGTCCCCGTCCGGTCACCTACAGCTGACCATAACTAATCATGCGTGGGCTGAGATTTGAGCACGGGCTTCATTGTTTCGCATCTAGATTAGTGTTTGCAATCCCTTGTGTCCATGCTGGCCGGCGACTCATAAAACACGCGTCTAATAAGCGAGTCGTTTATTTTGGAGAAGTGGGGCGGTCGTAGTTAATTGCTTTTCAATTAATCACGTTTTTGGATCGTTTCCTTGGCTGTGGAGCGAGGCCGAGGTCTGGGGTCATCCACTTAGCTGTCCATTAAGTGTCTGGTTCAATAAATTGTTCGCCTTATTTGCATATTTTTGCGTACCTTTTGATTTTGTTTTACTATTTAGAGTGGTGTGTGGAGCTTGCCAGAGTTCTTGTTCTGTTTTACTTAAGATAATTAAATTCATAATCATTATTCATTCCTTAAGCAACATTTTTTTTTAATTTTTAGGAAAAAGAATAAATTAAATTCAAACTTTATTTCAAGTCAATTCCATACATTTCCTGCAATACATTTACAATAGTTCTTTAAATATTTCAACAATTAACAAAAGCATATTTTAAAAAAATTCGATTTATTTACATTTTATACATAGCAATTTCGTATTTACTCTTTTCCGTAAATATTCAAATAAATATTTATTTAATGTTTCTCAGTCGACAACAATAGAAAACTGTTATTTTAATTGCATATTAGCCGACTACACAAACAAATAGACATATCCTGTTTATGCAATACACATCTAATTATAATGCGCAACAAAAAAAAACCTAAAAGAAATCGAGTAACTAAAAACAATTTGCATACAAAGTGAAATAAAAGCGCATGGAGGAAAATAATGTATGCAAAACAAAATCAACAACGGGACAATAATAGTAATTATGTTAATTATGCCAAGCACTGGCACACTCTCTCACATACTCAAACTAACACAGATGCTGTCACCAGACAAACACTAGCTACTTGATGTGTGTGTTCGAGTGCTGTGAGTGTGTGTGTGTGTGTGCATTTAAGTTTCTTTATTTTTGCCTCCTACAAATTAACAGAATAAGTTTGCAAACTGTTGGGGCTCTATACCCTTTTCCAAAGCAAGTGCACTTTATGTCCAATGAGAGAAATGCAAGGAATCAGCATTTAAAATATATGAATTAAAAAATTGGATACCCTTTCTTAAAAAATCATTGTTACATTTTTTGCCCTTTAATTTGGACAAAAAATTAATCATTTATTTATAAAGATAGGTTAAGGTCTAAAAACTTTAGTATTATTATTAATTTATATTAGCATAAACTCAGAAGGTATACAAACTTAAATAACAAGTTAGGATGCATTTCACTGCTGTGATATCCTTAACTGGCACTTCGGGAAATGTGTTAATGAATGAGAAAAGCTTTGGGGTTTATGAATGTCTCTGTGTGACAGTATAAAGGAGTAACGAAGTGAATGGGCGAGGTCCATGTGCGAGTGTTAAATGAAAGCAATGAATTATGTATGAATTACTGTGCAAATGTGCGCTACACCGTACAAGCATGCACACATTCTCAGACAAACTCAAACAGATAAAATGAACGAGATGTGTAAACATTTTTGGCCACATTTGCACTTGCTCTGCTGTTTGTGTTTGTGTGCGAGCAGCCTTTGTCTTTTAGACTCACACACATTTAATATTTAATTATTCTTTGGTCTGTGTAGGATTTGTTGTAGTTATTCAAATGATTTGCTCATTTCCAATGTTTAATTTATTTGTGCTAAAAATACAAGATCTTTATTTGCATAGGCTGCTGCATGCAAAATACATGATTTAATTATTAAGTATTACAATGCCAATTACAGTTTGCCTTGAAGAGAGCATTTTGCATTTAATTTTCTTTGTAATTATTTATTTACAAGTGCATTTGCATTGTAGTTCTGTACAGCTCCGTGATAATTTTTCGTTTAGCTGATTGCAATATACAAATGAATAATGTATGCTAATTGCATTCCTCAAAACACATTCACAAATATCATAGAAAATTAAGATGAATGTTTTTAATGTAATATAAAATAGTTATTAAATAAAATCAACCAGTTTTTGACTTGAATGAAGCAAGGAAGAGTTAAATTTCAGATGCTTTTAATAGTCTCAACAATAATTAAAATTCAAAATAGAAAACAGAGCGAGAGAGAAAATGGAAATAAATTAAAGGCATGAATAAACTATAGATAAATTTTGTATACGGCAGGCATGCCCACAGAATAAATCTGAGCCAAAAAGCTTTAACGCTCTTAATTAACAAAAGAAAAAGCAACACATATTAGAAATGCATTAAATAGAAAGCTTTAACTACAACTACAACAAGTTCTCAAACAGAAAACCAGGTCGATTTCGGGCTAAATAAATATTGGGCTTCTGACTGTATACAAAGCAACAGCAACAACAAAAACAATAAGCAAACTAGTACCAGTTGCTTAAGTAACTGTATGCAGCACAGAGGCACAACCATCAATCTTCGTAAATGACACACACACATACATCTACAAACAGGAGTGTGTACGAAGTGCGTGCCCCAAAGTTAGCTAGACAAATTTGTGCATTGTATGCGAGTTGCCTGAACAAAACTGTCACAACATGTACTAAGTTCTATACTAGAGTAAGACCATAAATAAAGTCAACTAAATAGGTACAGGATTGGTTTTTTATCATTTCTAAAAATATGAAATGTTTCAACGCTGCTGAAAACTATATCATTGATTCGAAATTAATATTATTATATTAAAAATCTTAAATAATTAATGTTTTGCACAGCTTATTCAGCTTATTATTGAAGATTATAAATGATGAATAACTCAAAATTATAATCAGTGATATTAAAGTATAACTTAATTTTCTTTTGGAATAGTTTTAGATACTATTTATTTTATTAACTGAATTATTATTAAAATTCAATATAGGACTGTTTTTGAATTAATAAATTTATTTGTTGTCTTACAAATCTTAGATAAAAAACAGTCTTGAAGTACAAATTCTTAAAAACATAAATATCTTTGTACTGTGAGAAAGGATATGTGTGTCCCTATTTGAATGCTCGCAAATGTATGCTCTCACATATGTATATATATAGCTAAGCCAACTTTATCTAACAAGTTAATCGCAGTTGCAGTTCAACATTGTGACAGTTTTGTGCCAGAGCAGCTAATAAGAGCCGTCAGTAGCGAAGCTGCGACAGATTCTTTTACAGTATATGAAAATCATAAATCACATTCACAAGACACATTCCAAAACTTTGCACTCTGCAGCTAAATCTCAGTAGAAGCTACGAAAGAAGAGCAAAAACAACAGTCGCTGGAGTCGTTGCTTGGTGATTTAAACCAAGAACCGCAAATTGTGGAGTACTGTGGAATACAAAAACAATAGCGCTAAAAGCGATAAACTTGGTCATGTGTTGATAGCCACGCCCACAGGCAATTGTCGAGTATTACAGCAAACGGTGCCGCAGCATGTCCTGCAATTGACAACATCACCGTCAGCCATTTGGACTTGTGGTTGATGGAATCTTAAAGTGTTTGCGATTGCCTAAGTGGTTGATAGGTTGGTCTTTTGTAATGGGGAAATGCATTTGCAGTGCAGCTTAAATAGCACAAGACAATGGCAAAGTGAGACTTAAAGGTGCTGACCTCACTTACTGCATTTGCCCAGCTTAATGTGCGATTATGCGAAATTACATGTGCTAATTAAATCACTTTCTTCACCACTAGACAAATGCTTTTGACTGGAATTTATCTCTAAATTACATTTTCTTGATTAAATTTGTGCAATGACCATTTGAGTTTAACCAAGTGCATATTATGCCTATTAGGCTATCTCCATTTCTACACACACTTCTTGCTTCAGTCCCAACGAGAAGCTACAGTTGACAATACAATTTCAAATGTCATTTCACAAATATGGCCATCAAAATTCCAACTGAATTTCTCCACATTATGCCATTGAAAAATATTTCTCCGCACCACGTCTGCATTTGCGAGATAAAATTTGTTGCCTGGCAATTGAATATTCGGTAGATTTTTTAATGTATACCAATTGCAATATACTTCACATATTACTGAATGCAACAGTGGCTGGTGCATTTTTATGCATGCTACAACAGAAATTGGACCCAGTTGTACAATTCGGCATCCAAATATTGTATCAATGCCACTTTAACTGCAACTGCAGCAAAAAAGCAAAACTGAATTTGGTTTGAGGAAACTAGTACTAGTAGTAATAGAATATATATACATATATATTAATAAAATACAAAAAAATATAATAATTCAGATATTACATTCAGTTGGAAAATGGAGGCATAGAGATGAGAGTTGCTGCTCAAATTGGATTGCAGAAAAAAAAATTATTTTTGAGATTTGTAAGTAAATATAGATTTACATTTCTGAAATTCTAGACAACTTTACTCAACTTTAATTTATAAGTGAAATTGGATCGAATATCAATTTATAGATATTTTGTACAAACACCAAATAGATTATTAATCTTATGTAGAGTAAGATTAATTATTAATTAATTTTTCAATACTTGTATTCTTTTTATTTTGATATTTCTTCAGTATAATATTTTGTAGTTATTTCAAAGTTATTAAATTTTGGAAACATTAGAGCAACATCTGCTTTTTAGCTGGCCCCCCAACAAAGTAGCCGTAACGACCATATGTGTATCTGTTGGAATGTATCTTTATGTGGTTCACGTGTGAGCAAAGGCTGTTGTGGTGATTTGGGGTCGTGGCTGCTTTGTGCGTGTCCAGCAACAAATCACACATGAAATTTATTAGAAATTTCAAATCAAAGTGAAAAGTAGCCGCTGTCAGACACTCACTCACTCACACTTACTTGCACTCAGTGACTCATTCATCCTGTTATATGACCTTTTTACGCAATTTCTCTGATGCTTTCTATTACTCTTTGCAGCTACCAGGATATCTTGCACATACCAACATCGCTTCAGCCATTTTCAACATCATTGGGTCCAATTGTCGATGGACACGTAATACCAAATCAACCATACAAGGTCATGGGGCATTATACGGAGCATTTCAGTCGGTTTGTTAAGCAATTGCTGTCACAGTTCTCTACTCTCTCTCTCTTTCTATCTTTCACCCTCTCTCTCGCTCACTTTGGTTTAACTTTTGATATTTGCTTTTTACCTTCCTACCGAAAAAAAAAACCTGGCAAATAACCAAAGGACTATTTATTTATTGTGCGTTACTTGATTAGATGTTTGGCATTTCGGCATGTGGCATGTGGCATCTGGCCCTCAGGTAATATTAAATGGCTCGTGAAATCCAAGTATGCATTTTAAGCGAATTGAGCAGCCAATGGAATCGTCTCGGGTACCATCAGTTGAATAGCACCTCAACAGCCACTTGTTGGGCCTAACATCCTTTTGATGGCATGTTTTAATGTGTCGCTGTTGTGGGCAGCCCCAAGCCTACAGTGTGAAACTCTAAAAATAATATATATTTATATATATTGAACAGCAGCTGGCAGACAAAGAAAACAAAATGAAGATGTTGCCTCAGACAGTTCACAATCTTTTTTACAAATATCCACAAAGTATTAAAAGCCAACATATTCTGAGAAATAAATATTCAGCTAAGAATATTACAATATTTATATATATATATATATTATATAGAATTTATTTATATAATATTAAATGTGCAAGTATTTGTAATATAATATATTTCACTCTTCAAATGAAGTTCCTCACCAAAGAAATTCTTGACGAAGCGCACAAAAAAGGTTTATTTAAATTTTAAAAGCTTGAACGTTAAGAATTTGACTTGCAGACCATATTGATTTTGGATATCCAGCTGCCTAATATCTTAAGCTCAGGAAGAATTTGCGATAATATCGAGCTGTGTTTGTGTTTGAGTTTGTGCTGTATCCACATCAATCAATCAGGCAACAAGTAATAACTCAGGCCTTAACAAAAGGGTTCATTTCAGTATTTTCCTTCCCTTCATCAACATCTTTTGTTATCTGCATTTCTGTCTCTCACCACTTTCCCATTTTTTCTTAATGCTCTTTGGGGGAATGAAACATCGTGGAACGTGTCCATTTGCTGCTGGGATGCCGTAAACATAGCTGCGCATAATCAAATAAAATGCGTGATTAATTGGATTTTAATTGTTATCCTTTTGCAAGTCGATCGTGTTTTAGACGTCGTCGAGATGTTGAATACAAAAACTAGAATAATAGCTGAAAGGAAGTGCCATTAATTACGGCTTACGTGGCAGGTATGGGTACATGAAACATGTTGGGAAGCTGACCTCCCACAACTAACTGAAAAGGTAAACTGACCTGTAAACTTGGCCAAAGTAAATGGAAGGATAGCTCGTACGATTCCAGTTCAGAGCAATGAATTCGATGGTTTTAAATTTCAATTCTTTTCATGCCTGTAGATCAAAGGCTCAAACAAGGACAACAATTATCGGGCAAGCTGTGCGCTACCACCTCCCATCCTCTTTCATTTAACAAGTTTCGCATTTACTTTTATCGACACAACGCTAAGCTTGCCCAGACACTAATAACTTTGCGCAACAGGACACAAAATATGTAGTTATCTGATGCCATCCCCGCTTTCGTTCAGGGCATTAGCATTCGAGTGGACAAGGATTTTCTCATTGCAGCACGGCGTTCAACATTGTCAGGCAACGTAACAAGTAACGCCGCAGGACTTCGTTTTATTCGAATGCTTTTAACTGCCGTTTATGGCGATTTCATTGGGTTGTATGCAGTAAGCGAATGATGCACACGACGAAAATTATTTGTTTCACTAGAAGTACATGTTGTAGTTTACAAAAACATGATACATTTTTTTTGTCATTTTAACTATAACAAGATTAACACAACTTGTTTTATTTGTTTTATTTATAGATATAATACTCATTTTAATACACATTACTAACTATTTATTTCGAGCTAATTCAAACATACTCAGTTTCTAATTGCATGTGAATTTGAAATTTGTTTTTAGTTATTACACTTTATTTAAGAGTTATGTCTTTTTTTTTTATTCTTAAGCACGCATTTTGTGTTTAAGAATTTTCAACAAATTTCTTGCAATGTACAAAATTACTTTCATAGTAAGCGAAGCCTAACAACAGGCACATCTACGACAAGCTATAACTCTATAGCCGCCGACCCAGTCAAACCTTTCACTATCGCTATCTCGCTCTTACTCTGCTATTTGCTGTCTCTTGCAGTTATGATTTATTATTCGGCATCACGGAGTCAGAATCCTACCATACATTGGCAGCATTAGCACTCGAGGAAGGATTACGTGAAAATGAACGCGATAATTTATTGCACTTCTATATGCAGAGTCGCTTTGATGTACGCCCCGATTTGGCATTGGCTGCCACGCTAAAAAAGTAAGTGAAATTTATGCGCTATTTTATGATATCGTGAAATACAAGCCGACATCGCTGCAGATGGGTGGTGTTATTGGCTGGCGAAAGTTACAACTTGCCTGCATTTAACACTTTGCAAAGTGTGCGCATACACACAAATGCACAGATATCCATATCGTTCATCTCAATTAGAATTGTTTATGTGGCAATTTGTTTGCTTTAAGTGGCAAGGATTAGCGTTGCCAGAGCCCACAAAGCGCCTCAGCAATTTCAGACCATTGACGTCAGTGCGTACAGTACGCATTAGCATTGCTTTAAATTGAAATTTATTCGGCATGTAGTCTAGTTTTTAAATTGGAAACATAAAGTAAATGATTGGATTGTGTTTGACATACAACTTGATTCAAATAGGTAATTGAGACATTAAAATGCACTTAATACAAATCGAATAGATGGCATTTACAATAATTATGAATAAATTATTCTTTTTTTTTTCATATAAATAACAGATTCATTATTAGATTTGGTCGATTAAAAGTGTGATAAATGGTTAAAGCTATTTTGTTTTAATATTTCTTATCTTATGAAAATGTAGAAATGTATATTCTTAAACCTGTAGAAATGTATAACCTTAAAATATACAATTTTTGTCCTAATCAGCTTTGGTAAATATATCCAATTTATACAGAGTGTACCACATTGTTAGACATATATTATAATTTGTTATCATATTCAGTGCTATAATAATGTGTGTCTAATTAGTGTCAAGCCGACAGAAACATGAAAAACAGAAAATTATTTCTATGCATCCATAAATAATAATAAACGACTATGAAAAAGGCACCGCAAGAGAGGACGAACTCAGCTCGGACCAGGCACAATTATGCCAAGAGTTAGTTAGTTATTACTGCGAGCTGTCTCAGCCTCAGCCCCCTTGGCTCCAGTGCACACATTCATTATACCGTTCATTTCATTTTGGAGCAAAACAATGCTGGTGACTATCTCATTTCCAGCAGCCAGAAGCCAACACGACTCAAGTTTTATTTGTGTGCGTGTGTGTGTCCTGCTTGTGCCTTGCAATAAATAAATAGCACAATGCACAAAATTCGACCCCGTCCGCCACGCTCCGCAAACGTCTCCGCCCCTGCAGTGACAACGTTTAAGCTGCATTTCTTGAATGTGTGTGTTTGTTTGGTTGAATTGGATTCCTTAGAGATGCTTCTGCGTTTGGTCAGAACGACACTATATTCTATATATAAAGATATTTGCACAAAAGAGAGCAATTGTTTCTAAAAGCACACGGCAAGACTCTAAGCGCAATGCCAATAGCTGCAAAAATATATTAAGACTTTGCCCGCCAGTCGAATTGAAGATGCTCTCAAATTACTTTTGCCTTGACAAATAAAAAAAAATACAAATATTTATATGAATATTTGTAAATGCATATTGAAAGTCCGACGATAGAATTTTGAAGTTCGAAGTAGTTAAGAAAAAATTCCATTCTCCAAAGGGTGTAAAACAAGTTGTTCAAAAATGCTCAAAGCGACAGGCCAGTTGCAAGAAGCGGATAACAGCAATAACACCCACATTGCAACAACAGAAACAGCAACAAACACGAAGAAACAACGACAAACAAACGATTGAAAGGAAGTTCACACAATCAACAACAGATGCGCTTTTTCACATGCGAATAACTGAACATGGAAACTCTCCAGGGAAATTGTTTTGTATGGTGCTGCTTTCGAGGCTTTCCTGCTACATTCACACACACTCACAAACACACACGCAGAAAAACCCATACACATTAACTTCAGTTCAACAGCTGCTGCACTGCATTCCCAGTGGCAATACTTTTGTTGTTCGTCATTGAATTAAATGGTTGAGTCCAAATAGCAGCGGGCAACGTTTCGGCCCTTTTTGTTTTGTAGCTCAACATGACGTACTGACTGACGCACAGACTGGACAGCCGGATAGCTGGATAGATGGACAGTTGGACAGTTGGTAGAGCATCAACGTTGCGATTTGCTTGATCCCTTCGTCTAGGGGCTTTGGGTGATTTTAACAATATTCCGAATCCCCCGCAGCCTGAAAAACTTGCACTTGTCTCTGCTACACGACACGTTTCAAATCCATCACTTTACGTGGAAAGAGATGCAATGCGGGAGTTGACAGAAGGTTTCCTGCGGGGCCATTCAGATAAAAATACTTTGAAAGGCTGTTCAGTGCATCGATTGCGTTATTGTTTGTGGTAGCTGCCATCTGACAGTAAGTGCAGCTGAAAGCCAAATAACACGTTGAGTGGAATGTAAAATATATATAAAAAAAAGAACAAAAGGAGCGGGAGAAGTCGAAAAAGGAAGTGACAGAGAAAGGAAGATTAAGCGAAAGAAATCGAAGAAGATTTTACTTTTATTTATTTTATATTTTACGATATTTGTTCTTTAAATAGAAATAATATGAGTGTCGAATTTGTTTATTTAAATTTAAATCAAGATAATTTAGCTTAATAAAAACAGAATTTTCTAAACTCAAAATTTCGCTTAAGATGTTGTTGAACAGAAAATGTAATTAAAACTCGAGTAAGTTGAAAACAAAAGAAAAAAAAAAAGAAAAAAGTTGACCTTATCAAAAAATCTAAAAGTTTATTTCACAAACATCATTCCGAGGTCTGCAGATTAGTTATTAGTTTGTAAAGGCCACACAATAAGCCCACTTGTTACTTTAAATTATCTGGTTAAATTTTCCAGGTACTATTATACGACTAAGCTGCAAGTGATACAACTCAAGTGGTGGCATCAATATAACGAATAGATTCAAAGCGACGGCTACTTTAATATTCCACACAATCCCTTAAGTATATTAATGACATTTCCGCTTAAGCGTAAGCTTTATATCAATATATATGCGTACAGCATATTTTTCTACTACTTGAGACATGCCGTAATTCATTGGGCACCAAAAAGCATACGGAAGATTCACTACCAAAATGTGAAGCACTAAATAAATGGTTTGGACCTCTTAAAACATTTCAATGGGCCATTAATCTGGGCTGGCATCGCCAATGTGTGTCGGTTTTACGGTTAAGACTTGCCGAAATAGCAGCTCAAGAAGAAGACGGAATGCTTTGTAATGCCGAAATGGACAATTTCATGGCTAGTGTAAATCAAAGATGCCTGCAATTAGGACAGTCACACCCACATGACCTGGTGCACCTGCTACCGACCAGAAGACCAATTTGAGCGTAATATGGCAGGCCGAAACAGTTTAAGGCAATTGCTTTGCAACTCATTAGCATGCTGTTTGGAACGTGGGCTTAGGCCAGTTACAGAACCCTTGTGTCCCTTTGTCATTGTTCCTCCAGTGCGAATATTCATGTTAGACGTAGAGCAGCTAATATTGGTTGGGCTACACACTATCGAGACTAAGCGCACAAGCTTCTGCCAGTATCTGCAACTGTATCTGCGCAGCCATAAAATGCAGCAGCAAAACATGTTCTGAGCATGCTAAGAGGGTCAACTCATCCACAGCCCACCCACACGAGCCAAAGCGGCGAGGTCGTTGACGATGTCGGCAAAAAAAAAAACCTTGGTCTAAAAAGTATCATAAAGCAAAGTGTTGAAAGTGGCGCAGAGCCTAAAAGTTAAAATGCTGCCCGAGAACTTGCAGCAGAGGCGCTGATAAAACGCTGTTTAAAGTGGCGGAAAATGCCCTCAAATCCTTACCTCTTTATAGCGAGCATGCTCTGAAATGAAATAAAAGTAAGCCATAATGAACAAAAGACTGCTAGCTCCTACTTAAGTAGCGCGTCAAAGCGAAATTATTAGAAGTTATGCACAAAGTTGCAGCCAACTCAGGGCAAAGAAAGAAAGTTGCCAAGAATTGACGCCATTTACCTTAGAAAAAAGTTTAAATTTATTAACCACTTACGTATTGAAGAAGCACTCTAAAAAGGGTCGCTCATAAGACTATTTATAGTGTTTTTCATTGAAGACTTTTCTAGACAACTTAAATGTATATTGTATATATATATATCAAAATTCCTTGTCTGGTCTTTAATCTCACAAAGTTTAACAATTTTATTAGGCTTTATCACTCTTTTTTTAATAGTATTGTAGTTAATTAAATTATATTATTGGCTAAGAAAACACAAATAGTTTAGAAATTTTAAAAGACATACAATTTTCTATTTCAAACAAAGAAATCTGGAAATTCTCTAAAGGCACTTTAATTTTTAATTTCTTTGTGTATTATTTTGCACTTACCCTTTTTAAAATACTTGATAAATAAATAGACATTTTAATAATATAAAAAAAAACAGTATGATTTAAATCGTAAATCCTTGTAAGACTTAGTCTATTTTTTCCATTATCCCACAAACAATTCATCAGTGTCCAATGCGGTTTTATAAACTGTTGCGTATCTCCAAAAAATGAGCATCTTATATTAAAGCCAAGCTGTAGACACGACCTTAATAACAGCCAAGCAGCGAATTGATGCAAAAAAACCCATCTCAAAGTGTCGCTGACAGCTCTATTGTCATTTTAATTTTGCCAATTTATAAACCGCAACGGCAACGCCCAGCTCTTTAATTACCAGATAGCCATAGCTAAAGCCACAAAGCCACAGTGTTGCCAAACAGGCGCCGTGAGACACGTAGATAAGGCTTCGACTGTTGGCCGCTTCAATGCTAGGGTCGTGGGGTGCAGATCCACGGGGTCGACGGCTACAAATGCCGCAGGCGTTTCTGGCCAACAGACGTTTAAGAGCATAAACTTATTTATTTTAATATTATTATTTATAAAAATATGCAGAGGATCCACGCCCAGCTGTTGTCTGGGTCTCGGCGCTGTTGCTGTTGTCGTGGTTGTTGCTGATGTTCGAGCCCAGGGGTTATGATGACAACGCACGAGATGAAGCTCAGTATGCTGCTTAATTTATAGCCCTCAGGCTGGTCCGGAAGTTGCATACATTATGTGCACAGCACAGTCTGGCCTGCAGCAGATCGGATAAAGGGGTGGCCA